TGTTCTTGAAACCTAGTGACGCCCCTGCGTTACACAACTTTGCAATCGTCTGTTTTCCATGAGGTGAAAGCCGATCTCGTCTCGCGAGAACAGAAACTCGTCATGCGAGATTACTTAACGCGAGATCAAAACAACAATGGCGGCGATTATCAAACTCTGATCGTTGCTGGAAAAAAAGTTTTTTTTGTATTATTTTTTTTGACTGAGAAATCTCCTTGTGTCCCAAAAATGCACATTATTTGGAACTGTGCGTCTGGCAGGAAAATTATGTGTTGAGGACGCGGGACGCAGAGGTAATGAGATGGCTGAGAAAATACCCAAAGGATTGTCCAAAAGATTGAAGGCTCCCCTCATTTTCCAATCTCAGCCCGCCTCCTGCTCGAATCTCATCAAAACACCCAATCTGGAAGTGGGTTTTCTCCGGGTACTCCGGTTTCCTCCCACATTCCAAAAACATGCATGGCAGGTAAATGGAGCACTCGAAATTGTCACGAGGTGCGAGTGTGAGTACGGATGGTTGTTCGTCTATTTGTGCCCTGCGCTGGCTAGCATCGAGTTAAGGGTGTATACTGCCTACGGCCCGAAGACGGCAGGGATAGGCTAGAGTACGCCCGCGACCCTCGCAAGGATAAAGTGTTTCAGATTATGGATGGATGGATGTTCACGGTCGGTGGCTTTATGGGGGTTGCTATTATTGAGTAGGGTAGATATTTTCGTCTCCGTCTTTATAATTTTCGTCTCCGACTTTCTAATTTGGATCTCCTAGGTTAAGTGGTATTCCAGTGCACTTATACAGGTCAGAAAACTCAAGACTTCCCACTTTTCTTTGTGCGGCAAGTCTTGATACTTATGGTATTTGTCACAGACTGCTAGGAAGTGTTTTACACTGTGGGGGGGAGATCCACAATATTTCTCCTCCAAGGCTGAAGAGAATGGCCACTCGAGTTTGAACTGTTTCCTTTCAATGCCGAGCTTTACTAACCCACAAGGGGCATCGGCCTTTCTAAGACGCTGCTGGGTTGCTTCTGAGTGGCAGCGTTCTCAAAAGCGACACAAAAGAGGTCATTCGTTCCCTTAGCTTGACCAGTGACAGGCAGGAAGTGCACGTCAGTCATCAGTGTGATATTCCGGCCGTGACCGTGCATTCAAACTGCATTAATGACATAATTGAACCCATGGGTTAGTGACCCAAGGTTTTTTTTTTGTTTTTTTTTCTGACAGCCACCGTGGGACTCCATTAATCATGCGACCTTTCGCATGTGCTGAGAAACCATTTCCTGCACTGGATGGATTAGCCGGCTGAATGGATGCAGCGCGTTCGACCTCGGAAAAGATTTGCAGTCCTTGCAGCTGACTGACGTGATGGGTTCGCACTTGCAGCACTGTGGAGCTTAAGGTGATCATTAAATTGCATTTGGATTTGTCTCAAAGTGGTCCTATTGGGGGAATATATTGGGTTTTTTTTTCTCTAATCAATATGTCACGAAGTCAAAGTCAGTTATGTGTTCCAAATGAAAGTTTTGGGGAAGGGAAACAAACTTTCTTTTGGATTCTTCAGGTCCTAATTGTGTCTCTAAATTGACCCTGGTGAAAGTCATTATTTTGTTGCGCTACGCGCACTCTATTTTCTGAGGATAGAATGTGTTTATGGATTTCTGCATCGACATTGGGCATGCAGTTTCGGTGTGCTTGTGTGTGCGGGAATCCACATTGTAATCTTTGGTAGGGACATCTGTCTCTCTGAGATAACATAACCGGGGAATTAGCCATGCTTTTCTTTACAACGAGCATTGCATCTTACTATTATTAAACGCCGACACACCTCCATCTATCTACCATACAGTAAGCACTGTGTGTCTACGTGTATATGTGTGTACATGTGCAGATGAGCGTAAGGTGTAGGCTGACAGTGTCATGTCCTTGGGTAACTGCAAATATTTAAGCATATCATTGAGCCCCCGGCCTCCTATAATCCTTAAATCCATTGTAAATTATAACTTGCCGTCTGCAAAATAAGAGTCTTATGCAAACAGAAACCAATATAAAGACAATCAAGAAACCAGAACTATGCAAGTGTACTTTCGCATCAAGGCAATTTTTGTTTTTTCTGTCTTGCATTCTGAAGAATTACTTTTTAATGTCAAACTTTTAAACATCCCGGAGCCACTTGTGTTGTGTTGCCGCAGCAGCGGTGCCTCTTGACCCAAGAGTGTTCTACTCTTTGAGCTGCAGCTCAAAAGCTCACAAAAGTTAGCGCAGTTATGTGAACAAAGTATCAAACAGCATACTTCATGCATATAACTCTTAACCATTATTTGTGCACTCTGAAAAGGATCACCTTTTCAATTCACTTTGTGAATGAGCAAATGGGGATTCAGTCACTGAGCTTTGCAGCGATCTGGGGGGAAGGTAGGATAACATTTTGCTGTAATGCAGGAATGAAAGGCTTTACTAATTTTGATAGGTTACAGTGCATTTTACTGGTCACTTGTTTTGTTGGGTTTGGTCATGTGATGCTCACAAAGTGAGCCCTTAGGCACTGTGATGTCATTTTCAGTCAACAGCAAGTGGCGGTAAAAGGCAAAATGGCCTGTCATTGAGATGAGTAAAAACGGGTGGATTTTTCTGTTTAATTCATAGTCCAGAACCACAATATTAATCAGAATGTCATGTTTACACTTGGTAGGGGTGCATAAAGATTTTTTGGGGACTTCAGTTGGCCTTTTGAGGGGCGGTTAAACCATATTAACAGAATAGACAGAAATTTTAGGATACCTGCAAAATGTTCAATGTGAAAATGAAAATTGAATAGAAATGATTGAAATGAGGCATTTTATCAAATAGTTTGTTGTTGACAATAAAATCATGTAAAAAAAAAATGCGATCATTTGATCACTCACTACGCACAATGTAGTTAGCATGCAAAACCCTGAACATCCATTGACAACGAATGGCACAAAAAAAAAAAAGGGAACACGTTTCAACAGATTTGTCATTGTACTGGTGAGTGTGCAAATGTTTGGTCGCTTCAAATGAGACCGTCGAGTTTCATTATTCTGCCACATTTTTATGATGACTGAGTGATTCTGATGAAGACACAAAGGCACTTTATAATGATCTTGACCCGGCTACTAAACTTTCATGTCATACTTTGGAAGGAACTTCTCCACCTCACACTGGCAGGCTTGTATTAAAAAGATGTGAGGCAGATTGAAGTACAGCAACCGGTTATTATATGCCTTCCCCTACCACGTATTGAGGTAAATGTCAAGTGTCTCACACATATACACACACGCACACACACACACACATACCCACAGAAAAGTAATTTACCACAAAAGCACAATGTTCCGTGAAGCTCTGGAGCATTTTAGCCGCATTGTCAGAATGCTGTCATCGTGATACTGGCTTCTCCTTTTGTAGAATCTGAGCATACAAAGCATAATTGCGCCTTTTGTGTCTTTTCTCCTGCACACGGAGTACAGCTGGGGGATCTGAATGCAGCACCGCTGACCTGCTTGAATCAAAGAGGCGGCTTGGTGGAACACAACAAAAATAGAGGGTGAAAGACTTGTTTTTTTAACGGCACAATTTAGGTCGATGAGTCGCCTCAGTAGCCATGAGGGGTTATTTTTTTTTGTCCTCCTTTTTTTTTTGTATCCATAACACAATCGCATTGCTGTTGCCAATAGCTATTCTGCAGCAAGCTCACAGTGCCTGCTGGAGTATTTGACTGAGTGCCAGCCTTAGTTTTTATACCTCATTAATTCACAGGAGAGATTGAGAGAGAAAACCATTCGCTCTCCATCATAAATCAAGTCTCGTACTCGCATAGACACACACGCGTAAACATACACTCACACTTCAACACGCCAGCAGGCAAATCTCAAGGCTTCGGAAATGATTTAATCAGTCAATGACAGAAAACGCTGTGATTAATTTCTACGTGGCTCCAGAGTGTTGCTCTCTTGTGTGCTCTTTGTTATGAAGCACAGTTCCTCCGCCGTGGATGACACCCGCTTTATTAACAAGCTCAACTCATGTCTTCGCTTGATTGTGTTTACCTCTTCTAAGTGCTTTTATCCGGAAAAGAAAAAGGATGGAGGTCAATCCTGACGTATGTCTGATGGCTGTTGTGTCATCTCACAGGAGTTGCTCTTGGAAGATGGAGAGGTTTGAGCAACAAAAAAAAAAAGAATTCTGAGAATTAAACTCCGGGCTAAGGACAGAGAAGTGTGTGTCTGAGAGACTGGTGGAGATGAGGAGGTTTGATGCTGTAACAGCTGCTAATTATTGCTGCTCTATATTTCACACAGTCCGTTTGATCTCCTGTCTCGGAGAAAAAGATAAAGATTCTGTCTTGCTCCCTAAATTTGCACACACACACACACACACACACACACACACACACACACACACACACACACACACTGGGATAGTCAGGGCCACAATGAGGAGAAAGTGCCTAAATTACCTCACAGGGACGTATTACAGAAAATTGACTTTTTTAATAGTTTGTAAACAATTCTCTGGTCTCTAACATGCCTGCCCACCCATCAAGTGTGAAATTAATAACGAAGGAAATCCTTTCTCATTTGCACATTCTTGAAATTGTTTCTAAATTGACTGTGCATGTAACTGCCCGTCCGTGGTGTTACACCACCAAAGATGAGGCAGCCCTTTAGATCCACCACTGTCAAGCAAAATTACATCTTTATGAGTGCTTGGTGACGTATATTTACCCAGAGGTGACACGGTGATCCACTGGTTATGCAATACCTATTATAATATCTGTTATATTTTCCCTATATTGTCAGATATTCTAACTTGCATTCCAAAATAAATAAAACCCACTTTAGTTGATGTCCTGAAGTATCTGACACATTACAACAATGTAGTGTTGAAAAGTACAATTACTTCTACTACTATACTTACGATAACAGTCATCATTATCATCATCATCATCATTATACACTCACACACAAAACATGGAAGCATTGTTATTTATTCAAGGTGTGTTTTAATTCAGCACAGATCAGACTGCTGCCGCAACAACTTTCATAAATACATGTGGGTAGGGAAATGTGTCATTGCCACCAAAGTCATTTGGTGTTTTGAAGTAGACAGTGAAGTATGGATGGGCTTTTATCTTGTTGTTTGTCATGACTCGAACTTAAACTCGGTTAGAATATTTACAAAACACAAAATCATGTAGAGTAAACAGATATACAGGTGACACCTACTGCAATTCAGCTGCTCGTATAAGTACGGCTCTAGCTCAACATGTTCTTCCAACAATTTAGTAGGTTATTGTCTTGAAGTTTCAAATTCATGACTTTGTAAAGAGTTTTGAGGTAGGGGATTACATTTTCAATACCTTCGTTAATTCTCGAAAACAAAGAGACGCTTTTTCAAGGAGCTCCCCCAAATCTTTCCCCGAATTTAGGACACAATCCTGCTAAATTCAAATGTGTCCAAGTAAGAATAGTGCTTGTGCTACAACTTCAGTTCTGATGGTTTGAAAGTCATACTTTTCACCACTTGTGTGAAATGGAACCAAAGGCAGAAGAAGCAATGTGATTTCCTCTCGCCTCCTTATCAGGGGCATGCATGTTACACATCAAAGGTAGCGGGCCACATACAAAGAAGAAAGATGACACAAGCCCAGCTTGTCTTTGAATAGCAGGTGCACCTTTCCCTTTATTATAAGGTTGAATGATCGAGAAAGCAAATGATCAAAGTCGGTTGTGTCACTGTCGGCTGCCACGCGGCAGGGGATTAATGTAGAAACACATTTTCAATTCAAACGCAGTCAATAACACACTGTATGTGTGGAGAGGACCTCAAATTGATCCCTGACCAGCACATTTCCAATAGCGTGCTCTCTCTTGCCATGAAAAATTAATGAACATGGCTGCAGCTCTGCGACTGTTCCAAGGCCTTCTGCTGGAACCGAACTCGCCATACTGTGTCCATGAAAGGCCGCATATTGTTGGAAGGCTGCAGGGCTAGAGTGGAAAGAGGAGTGAGAGGGTTTGCGTGGAAGGAGGACATCGGCGGGGGAGGTGGAGGAGGGAGGAAAGGGACGGCGTGGTGAGCAAGGAGGATGGAGGGAAAGAGGGATGAGAGAGGGACGGGAGAAGGGTGAAGGTAATGAGGTAGGCTCGGGCGGGGGTGGGTAAGTGAGTGAGCGAGCTGGCCCGGCTGGACATCAGGAGAGGGGTGTGAGGCGGCGGAATGAACTGTGGAGAAAGCTGGGTGCTGTAAAATTAAATGATGGAGGTTGGCGAAAGGAGGGGTCAATGCAAGGGGAGGAAGGCTGGGGACACCCAAAGCCAAAGGTGGCGCAAAATCCTCTTGTGGGTTCATGCGTAGGAGTCTTTCTTGGGGATTGGGACCTGTTGGCATTGTGGGAGGATTCTGTGTAGCCTTGATTGAGGGTCTAGGCATGTACGCCTTCTCTGGAGTCCCGCAGTCGTCTTTCTGTGTGGTGCATGTGAGGTTTGTCCCCACGGGCACATCTGTGCTCTCTTCACTTTGTTCCAGAACTTTCTGCATGTGCTCTCTGGCCTGTTCCTGCAGGAGCCGATACTTGTCCATCTCCTCTGCACTAAAGCTGATTGGCTGAGCTGGCCCTGCGCCTGTCTTCTTGTCATCCGTCCTAATTTCCACTGCACATAGATTTGGTGTATTGCTTTGGTTTGACTTAGCCAAGCCCAAAGGATGTTCACTGTCCAACCTCTGACTCACCTCCTCATCACCAGCCTCCCTCTGAATTCTTTCCAACTCTTTTTTTCTCCTCCTCGCTTTTGTCTGGATTGCAGGGAGCTTCCCGATGAGGGGGAGCTGCAATGTCCGCATTGGTTTCTGTGATACGGAATCACTTTGGCATGGGATGCTTTTGTTTGTGGTTGGAAAAACAAGAGGTCCATGGTCACAGTCTGACAGTGACTTGGTCCTTTCCAGCTGAGACATCTTGCTGTCACAGATATGTGCAGTGGGGTCTGATGAAGCATCTCCGCCATTGAAGATGAGGTCGGGTGAAAGAGATGTGACTTCACTTTGTGCGTTTACCTCAGATGGGAGTCTCCCGCGCATCATACTTGAGGAGGCGCTGCTCTTGCTCCACTCCCAGCTGAGCTCAGACACACTGCTGATGCTGCTGCTGCTGCAAGGGCTGCAGGAACGTGGCCCGTGGCATCTGCTGGACTCGTATGGTTTAAACTCCCTTGGCGGACTGTATACCCGCCTACTTGTCCACCATTCAGGGCTAGGCACACACATAAAGTTCGAGCGTCCTGTGCCTGCAGATCCCCATGCACAGCTGGGGCTCCTCCTGCTGTCGGTACCGGTTCTGGACCCTGAGCTGGACCTGCGTGTCCCTCTTTCTTCCCAACTGTCACTACTTCCCAATGTCAACTTGTCCCAATCTACATCTTCCATGCTTGCTCTCCTGCTTGTCCTCTCCCTGCTGCTTGGACTTCTGCTGTACCTACTTCCCCACTCCCATCCTATCGCCTTCTTTCTCCATCTCCATCCAGAATTCAGCCTGCCATTCTCCTCAGTCAACTCCCACTGGTCCGAGACCAAACCTCGGCCTTTGGAACCAAAATGCCTCCCGCTTTCTCTTCCTTTGTCTGTCTCCCCATAACGTCCTGAACTACTTCTGTTACTGTGAATGAATCTCTTGTCCCCATGGAGGAGTTTTCTCTTTCTCGCCGGGCTGCCACTACAGCTGTTGTCAGGGTAACTGCAGTCAATGAAACTCCTGGGGTTGCTATGGTGACCCGATTCCCAAAACAGCTTTGTGTTAGATCCTGGTGAGAAAGAGTGTAAGGAGCAACGAGATCTCCGGGGGACTGGCTCCCCTTCTGTGTCAGGCATGCATCCGGTAAACTGGGAAAAGGCGCGGCAGGGTTCCCCTCGCTTCCTGCCGAGTAAGAACTGGGATGCTGAGCAGAGACTCCTGTGAGGCCTCATCTTCCTGAAAGAGACATAGACTGGCTTGGTCTCGGCTCTCCCTGGAAGACAGCTGCTCCCAGCTCTCCAAACAGTCCCTCTTGCCTCCATCTCCCGTTGTCCCTTTTTGTCTCGCCAATTCTCTCCAGTCTCTCCTCCTTTGGCGATCACATTGGAGACTGCAGAGACAACACTCCTCACTTTGCATCTTACTGATTTGCGCCCATTTGCGGACTTTCGCTTTCTCCCCGTCTTTCTCTTTGCCAGCTTGGGCTTCTTTGTGCTGTGTTTACTCTTTCTGCACGAGATACCTCCTTGCGGATGAGGATCGCTGGCACTCTTGCACGCGGTCGCACTCTCTCTCTCACACCTTGCCGAGCCGATGCATGTCCTGCGTGTGCCAAGCTTGGTGACAGATTCTAATTTACAGCTTAGGGCTGAGATGGCTCTCTCCTCGATCCCCCCTGTGCCTGCTAATCTGTCTCCCGGAGGAGTCGGGGGGTTTGTGTCAGAGCTGTCACTATGAGTGGGGTCAAATGGAAAGGAGGGCGCCCGCACATGATGCTCTATACTTAGCATGCGTGACGGCCCTTCTGATCCGTCCCCTGAAGACGAAAGGTTTTTGTTCTCGACAAACTGGTGTGCTTCTGCCTCGACATTCTCCGCTTTTTTCGGCTCGTGCGCGGAACTCATCCCTTTTTGTAAACAGTAATGAGTGTCTGGTGTAAGAATAGCTGACTCACTTGGTTTCAATTCATCCAGGAGATCACATAGCTGATCCTGTGCAAGTTGTTCTGCCGTTTGGGGTTGCTTTGTGCTGTTTGGGTTGCAGCTATAAGAGACGCATGGCTCACACTTGGTGAACTTCAGTAAACTGACAGGCCATGGAACACAGGTGGAACCATCTTTACACAGAACGGATATGTGCGCACCGACACCTGCTCCTGGTGCCTGCTTTAGCTCATCATGTGACGTCGAGTGTGCTAAATCACTGCTTTGATTATCTTTCAAGGTCTCCCTTATTTCGGCGTCCTTTGTGCATTTTCCTCCCATTTTACTTTGACCAACGCCCTCAATTTCCCTTTCAATGTCTTCCAAAAGGCCCTGAATCCGCTTTCTCATTTGCTGCCGCCTCTCTTTCTCCTCCTCCTCCTGGTCAGAGAAAACTGAGGCGGAGGGCTCCAGCCGCGGCCCCCTTCGCGAGAAACAGAAGGACACCCCACGCCTGCCTCCGACTCTTCCCCGCCCCTCCAGAGGCAGCTGGCAGCCCACATGCGGTTGCTGATTCACTGCAGGAGGACCTTTATCGGACTCTGGATGAGTGATTAGCAGGGACTCGGTCGGAGTGAGCAGTGGTGTTTGGGAGAGAGGCCGGCATGGATTTTCTCGCTGGTGGCTCAGTGGAGATGTACCACCGTGTTTGGCTGGGGGCCTGTGTGTGTGTTTGAAAGCTTCAAATTTGTCCACAGGGCTGCAGGCTTTGTGCGCGGTGCTTTTGTCTTGCTGCTGGCTGACAAGCCTGACAGCAGTCTGGAGCTCAAAAGTCCTCCCTTGGCCACTGTAATGGCAGTTAATGCACAACATATTCAGTTTGTTTGCATTCAATCACTTTGGACAAACACTGAGTGTCAATTTTGTCAAGCGATATTTAGAATCATTTCACGATTGCAAGCAGATTTGATCATCTTCAAACATGATCATGGCATTTTGATTGGATGATTTTAAAATTGTGCTTACGTACCAAACAAAGCGAAGACAATCGTTTCCGTTTTTCACCTCAAAATATTGCACTTCTTAAATAAGTATAAACAGGTCTGCTTCTCATTGATTATATTTTCTGGTTACGGTAATACAGAGTTATGCTGTAGTTGTTTAATTGAATGAGTTGTAATGTTGTGTTAAAGATAAATTAAAGCAGATGGCAATTATTTGCAAATCGTGTTCTTCCTATATGTAATTGAATATACTACAAAGACATGATATTACACGCTCAAACGTTATTGTTTTTACCAAATACTTAAAATGTTATGGCGCAAACAATTTCCAAAAAAAGCTTGGACAGTTGGCAAAGACTGAGAAAGTTGTGGAATGCTCATCAAATACCTGTTGGGATATTGTATATGCTATATATTAGCACACATTTTTTTTCTAGAGGGGTAAAGGAAGCATCTTTTAGGGAAGGGGTCCTTATTTCTTTCAAGGTTATGCTGCACCATTTGACAACGATGTTCACTCTTACTTTGTGAAATGATTCCATTTTCCTGCAATGTTTTTATTTTAAAAACTTATTCCCAATAATATTTTATTCACATCATTCTTATTTTCATTTCAGCGTGGCCCGAAAACACCTTTCCAAGAAAGCCAGTATCCTCATGTTATATTTACTTCACCTGTGGCCCACGGAGGGCGACTGAGTGCTCCCACATCTGTGCATGCAACCATCAAATTGAAGAAACATTGAATTGATGTGACGCACTCTAACCTCTGTGGAGTCCTGATCTTATTTTACACGTCCACACACTCACCGCTGGCGTTCCTGCTGCAGCCGTGCACGCTGGTGCAGGCGTCGGAGAGCTTTCTCCTGTTTGCGTTGGTCTTTCCATGACTTAGAGGCCACGTTGCGAGCAAACTCCCTCTGCTTGAGTTCCTTCAGTCTCTGCAGTAAACACACATGAAGAAAAGGCTTGAGTGACTCCCCTCAAGCCTCTTATTTGATTTTCAAATTGCATCTAGCATTTTTGGATGTTTCTCCTCAAAACATGTGCCCAATTAACCACATTCGGAATAGATGAAAGCGCCTTTCGATCAATGCCCAGCATGAGCACAAACCAAAAAATAAATACATGATGAATTCTCACGGTTCAGATCATTGAGTGGCATACCTAATGATGATGATGATGATGATGATGATGATGATGCAACTTTTAGACACCAAGAGTGAAATTTATGATTTTCAAGACGGTTTAACAGTTTCAACTTCTGATGTACTAGCATCTATTTTGGGGCTTTTCTTTCTTTTTTTTTCTTTGCAATTAAATAAAACAAATAACTTTTTTGTCATAGTGGTTAAACAGCCATTATGTCTTGACAGTAGCACATTATAAAATTGATCAATTAAAAAATCTGGCATCTCTGTCAGGGAGATTTTGCTAATTGCTTGTTGTTATACATATGATGTTTGATGGACTTTGTGCCCTAATGTCCAAGACGTACGCCTGATTCGATGTTAGTGGAGGGCTTTGTGTATCCCAACGTTCTTAGAGGCGAATTTGTCTTGGGCTTTGTGACCCTGTCAGGCTCACCACAAAAATGAGTTTGACATTCATTTTGACATATTAAGTACACAGTCGATGTGTGAATTGTACACAAAGCATTAAAACAGACAAGGAGATTGCGTGTATTTACAGCAACCGCGATGGGTTCAAGGCCCAACCCCATGAATGTGTCACAGTACTGTGAAAAATCTCAACCAGCTGTGCTTTGTGTGCATGCGTGTTTACTACGTAGGTGAAATGTGTCTGTCACCAAAGTTGTGCCGATTCTCTCAAGGATTCACGCCACTATTTTTCCGATTTCCCTTTCTGACACACTGTAATCCCTCCTTTATCCACGCTTGGCAGGTGTGCATGAGCATGTTTATGTGCCGGTCTTTGTCTGCTTGTCTGCATCTGAAGGCGAAGGAGGGACTCGGGAGTTGGGGAATAGCTGCGGCATTGTCCACAGACATCCCTCCCAACCCTCTCTAACCAAACACGTGGAAATCTTGGCGTTAACCGTCACAATTTGGTGTTTACGTGATATATAATTGCATTTTTTTTTTCCACAGGATAACTCGCAATATGATTATTATGCTGTCAGATGGGGTTTTTCCCCCCCACATGGTGTTACTCATTCCCACCTATCATCCAGAATGTATCACAGGCACTTGCATGCACACACATCAGATTAGCCCCTCAGACATTGGATCTATTTATACACTCACTCTCTTTCACACCTCGATCTAGCGCAGGAGATGACAGACGTCAGGTTAATCTGTGCTGAGTCTTACACAAGCGCTTGTCTTCTTACATTATCATTTGATGCTTAACATCCCACTATCAGCTCGCTGAGGACGCTAATGCAGAAGCACTTTGTTGTGGAGCTTTTTTTTTTTTTAATCGATGCGCCAGGATTAGCATCTAGCTAATAAGACCCAATACAAGTGCTGTATACAAAAATAATTCCTATATAACGCGAAAGCAAGTTGTGTTTTTGTTAAGAGGCTACTTCCTGGATTATGACAATTAGGTATGAACAAGTGGGTGGGGCCATTTTCATACTGTAGCATTGCATATAAGATAGAAGGGCTCAAACTCCCCAAATAATTTGTTTTCAGACATGTATCATAAAATTTAAAATGTGCCACCCAACCAAAATTATGAGGAAATTGCTTGTGTTGGTTTTCGAGAATCATAAAGGGGGAAAAAAACAAAGGAACCACAGTCAAAAAATGTTTGCGCTGATATATTAATGCTTACCTGTAACTATTAAAGAGGTATATTCGAATCTTATTGCCTAACTGAACTAACACAATATTAAAAAAAAAACTTTTTTTTATGATGACAGAGTATCACAGTTAAGATAATTTACAATATTATATCCACTCTGTCCATGAGATGGACGGAGATTAGAGCACCGAACTGCATACCAGTAATATTTAAATGTAGCCGACATATACTTTGAAACATTTTTTTTATTATCATATTTCATTTTCTTTTTTTTAACTCTTGTTCAGGGTGAATCAGTTTGCAAATTTATGTTGATCTGTATATACATCCCCTGGGTTGTTTTGCTACCCCTCAAAGAAATTTCATGGAAATTGATTGTGGAGATAAGCACAGGGCCTGCTAACTAACAAGCTAACCATGTTTGGTGGAGTTAATCGATATCTCTCAAACAGTGTCAATCAAAATAATATATTCAGATCTTCAATTAAATCCTACTTATGTCCAGAGGATGGACCTGGAGTCAGCTTGTGTGCGTGTTTGATTTTAGGGCCTGTGTGAAGTTTGGAGGGTCTTTAACGGCAGATCTCTGAGTAATATTAAACAGTCAAACATGGGTGCAAACATCATGAGGCAGAGCGGACGAGGGGAGGAAGACGGGCGTAGAACGAGAGTGGCCGTGCTCGTAGCTGTACATGATGATGAGAGCCAGAAAGAATATGCGAAGATGCTCCCTTGTGCTGGAATCACATCACCAGGTTATTGTTCTCTCATAAGAATGAATGCCATTGCTATATTTAGCGTCGGCAACAACATCACAGGTGCTCACTTTCCCCCTTTAAAGAGGACTCTTCTGTCATATGTCTCTGACATCATGTCCCCTCGCTTTCCCCTACGTGTCCGTCTCGCCATGGGCTGTCAAGTTCAATCAACACAAATCGATACTCCTTCAGATGTGCACAGCTTCAGGCCGTTTGCTGCCTCACTTCATTTTGGCGGATGTATCCATGCAAATGTCTTGATTGCTCTTTATTTAAATGAACGCGTTTATGTTGTAACGAAGCAATTTCAGCCATGAGTGCTAAACGCTGAGACGAGCTCTTTGCAGACAGGTTTAACCCCGAATCGATGGTAAGGGTGAGGAGACGTCGCAACTGCAATCAGCTTCCATTTTCCAAAGCCAATACTCCTGCGGGGAAGCCGTCTTCAGCTGGAATTTCATCTGCCGTCTGCTTGCTCGGCAGCCAGCGTGCATGCCACTGTGCATGTGTGTGTTCTCCCAGCGCCAGTGGCTACTGTCAGCTCAGTGCCTCATGCAGCCTGTTTCATGTGCTTGCCGCTGGCTAAAACAAAGCATTAACATTGGCCTGCAGTTGCTTCAATTCATTTCCAAAGAACAATGACAGTGCGGGAACCGTCTTATTTAATGTTCATTTCATGGCCCAGTGTGGGCGTCTGGAAGCGTGAGGCGGGCTGGCTCGGTTAAGAGATTGCTTGTGCGCGGCTAAGACGTCTGTACGTTTATTGTACCAATTGGCATGACAACACAAAGCCGAACGCGAGTGTTCTGAGAGCGGAACTTTCAGCTTGTTAGTCTAAAGCAGAGCTTGCGTATGGAAATGGGAATGAAAGCAGAGCACAGGAGGGAACCTGCTGCCGGGCCTTTTCTTAACGCACCATTGACCCCATCTTGTCCAAACTAGAATAATACAATCATACTTGAGTCATGACTAATAGTTTTGCTTTTGTTTTATTAGTGTGTGTGTGTGTGTGTGTGTGTGTGTGTGTGTGTGTGTGTGTGTGTGTGTGTGTGTGTGTGTGTGTGTGTGTACTGGTTGTTATTTGGAAGGAAATACGAATGGAAAACTAAAACAAAAATGCTCTTATACAAAGTAATGTAATCTCTAAATTATTATTAGTAAGAGTTACCATTTGATATTATAGTAATAAAGTATGCATTAATAATGAGAGGTTGGTCACTTGGTCAAATCATCCATTCATCCATTTCTGATCCGCTTCATCCTCACAAGGTTCGAGGGGGGGTGCCGGAGCCTATCCCAGCCGTTCACGGGCAGTAGGCGGGGGACACCCTGAACCGGTTGCCGGCCAATCGCAGGGCACACATAGAGGAACAACCATCCACGCTCAACCTCGCACCCCGGGAGAACATGCAAACTCCACACAGGGGGGCCGGAGCTGGAATTGAACCCGGTACCTCGGCACTGTGAGGTCGATGCGCTAACCACTGGACCACCAGGCCGCACTTGGTCAAATCAATATTAGTACAGTATATAATAGCATGGTGAACTGGTGGTTTGCGCATGTACCTCACAGTCCTGAGGTCCTGCATTCGATTCGCGGCTCCAGTACCCAGGCTTTGGCCCACATTGCAAAAACATACATGTTAGTATTAATGGATGGATGGATGCATGATTGATTGAGAGAAATACAGCTTTTGTGTAAGACGAAAAAGTCGTAGACCCCGTACACACATAAGGATATTTCCGGCAGAAATTTCATGTGATCAAACAGAAACAAGGAAGAACTTTTCACCACCGGGTTTGTTACGCCGTCGCTTTCCAGGTGTTTCTGAAGGGATTGAAGAGGTGAACAGTGTAAAATCGCGATGTCACCAAAAAAGACCTGCTTTGGAAAATACAGTACGTGTTGCCGTCGAGTGGAACCCACTTGTCAATAACAAAAAGACGTCATCAGTTAAGACAAGATTGTCAGTCCTAACCCTTTCGCAATCCTCTTTCTGGGACAAATCAATTTGTAATGAATTTCAGCAAATTCTTACAGGATCATCTTATAAAACACAAGATTGTCTGGTTCATGACATCTTTGGTCGGGAAGGGGCAATATCAGTACAAATACAGCCCGATTGTCTTTCTGCGTGCAGCAGGCCTTAGTTCCGTGAATTGAGCTCATGAAAAATATGATGATGGCTCAATGTGAAAGAAATTACACTTTAATTTTTTATTTTGTGGAACTACATACAATTGACTTCAATAGATGTATTATTTAGCAGTATTGCTACGGTTGTCCTTGAACAAGGCCACTACCCATGCTTCAACATTTCCCTTTCAAATGGAAAACTAAAACAAAAATGCTCTTATACAAAGTAATGTAATCTCTAAATTATTATTAGTAAGAGTTACCATTTGATATTATAGTAATAAAGTATGCATTAATAATGAGAGGTTGGTCACTTGGTCAAATCATCCATTCATCCATTTCTGATCCGCTTCATCCTCACAAGGTTCGAGGGGGGGTGCCGGAGCCTATCCCAGCCGTTCACGGGCAGTAGGCGGGGGACACCCTGAACCGGTTGCCGGCCAATCGCAGGGCACACATAGAGGAACAACCATCCACGCTCACACTCGCACCTCGGGACAATTTGGAGTGCCCAATCAACCTACCTGCCTCGCGTGTTTTTTTGCAATCTGGGAGGAAACGGAGCTGGAATTGAACCCGGTCCCTCGGCACTGTGAGGTCGATGCGCTAACCACTGGACCACCAGGCCGCACTTGGTCAAATCAATATTAGTACAGTATATAATAGCATGGTGAACTGGTGGTTTGCGCATGTACCTCACAGTCCTGAGGTCCTGCATTCGATTCGCGGCTCCAGTACCCAGGCTTTGGCCCACATTGCAAAAACATACATGTTAGTATTAATGGATGGATGGATGCATGATTGATTGAGAGAAATACAGCTTTTGTGTAAGACGAAAAAGTCGTAGACCCCGTACACACATAAGGATATTTCCGGCAGAAATTTCATGTGATCAAACAGAAACAAGGAAGAACTTTTCACCACCGGGTTTGTTACGCCGTCGCTTTCCAGGTGTTTCTGAAGGGATTGAAGAGGTGAACAGTGTAAAATCGCGATGTCACCAAAAAAGACCTGCTTTGGAAAATACAGTACGTGTTGCCGTCGAGTGGAACCCACTTGTCAATAACAAAAAGACGTCATCAGTTAAGACAAGATTGTCAGTCCTAACCCTTTCGCAATCCTCTTTCTGGGACAAATCAATTTGTAATGAATTTCAGCAAATTCTTACAGGATCATCTTATAAAACACAAGATTGTCTGGTTCATGACATCTTTGGTCGGGAAGGGGCAATATCAGTACAAATACAGCCCGATTGTCTTTCTGCGTGCAGCAGGCCTTAGTTCCGTGAATTGAGCTCATGAAAAATATGATGATGGCTCAATGTGAAAGAAATTACACTTTAATTTTTTATTTTGTGGAACTACATACAATTGACTTCAATAGATGTATTATTTAGCAGTATTGCTACGGTTGTCCTTGAACAAGGCCACTACCCATGCTTCAACATTTCCCTTTCACGGGCGCCCTTGTGCATCTGTCTTCAGCAATAAAAAATTGAGCTTGCAAATTTGGAAATTAAACTCAAACGTTCCTCACTCTGTCTTCCCGTTATTGGCACGGTTTTGACCCGCCTCCACCAATGCAAATGGCCATCTCTTCTAATGCACATCAATATACATTTCTGCCTGGAGGCTCACTCTTCATCACTGATGTCATCGCTCCTTCGCGTCAGAACTCATAAGATGTCATCCCAAGGCCATGTGCTTCCTGCTGGGGTCTAAGTACCAGTCTATTCCTCCTCTTCACATCAAATATTAATCGCCCTTCGTCATTTCTCATCTCTCTCGTTTTCTTATTTGTTTCTCCTGATTGAAATTGAAATGTGATGAGCTTGTGTATGCGTGCTCGGTAGGGCGGTTGTATTGCAGCATTCTTCAAGGCGGCATGAAAAGCAGCTTTACATCAACGCATAATTCCGCAACAGGGGGGATCTTAAGAAATGCCCGTTTGTGTTTTCCAGCAAGGTGCCACGAGCAACAGCCGCTCGTCATGTACCTGTTTGTGTGCGTGGTCGTAGGAGTTGATGTGGTTGTCAAACTCCTGGTGGCGCAGGTACTGCTTGTCACACAGCTCGCAGTAGAAAAGAGACTTCAGATCCTCCGCTGAGCAGCCCAATGCTACAAGGGAGACTGATGACGAAAGGCGATGGAGGCAAAAAAAAAAAGCGACAAAACATAAAGGCTTAGAGTGCGAGCCATTTACAGCTAATCTGCATCCCGGAGACATTCTTCGTAAGAACTCTGACATTTATAGAACAAGGGAGACTGATGACGAAAGGCGATGGAGGCAAAAAAAAAAAAGCGACAAAACATAAAGGCTTAGAGTGAGAGCCATTTACAGCTAATCTGCATCCCGGAGACATTCTTCGTAAGAACTCTGACATTTGCTCTGCCTATGGCCATTAAACTGCGTTCTATTAAAGTAGGTTGCTGGAGCATTGGCTTGAGGTTACCAAATTCATGGGATACATGTGTCGGCCGACTTGAACTTGGTGACACTCTCCAATGCGGGAAAGGACAAAATATTGCACGATATTGCATAGTAAGTCCCACGGCACAATGTCAAAATGTCTGATGTCCATTCAGCCACTGGTGCGGCACATTTGTAGACAAGTTTGACTTCTTCATGTTATGTTATTCTACTCTATGTACTGATGGAGTCCACACTGTGCATCTAAATAAGCAATGCCGACAGGATTTATGACGGGCAACTCTGCTATGACTTAGATGCCATTTTTTTCCCCCCCATTCTTCTTGTTTTGTACAAAAAGTGAAATCATGACTTACTGGACAGAATAGAGGAAAATACTTTTTTTTTTAGAATACGCGTTGACAACCTTGAATGATGGTTTCATTTTGCCGAACCGAGTCCAGTTGACCAACCTAGTGGGCGAGTGTTGAACATGGCAGCCCGACTCTCAGCATCAGCCCTCCTGTTGGAGTTAGAATTCTTCTCCTTGCACCTTTTTGAGTTCCTCCAAGTTTCCTCCCGCGTTACAAAAACACGCATACTCGGCTCTCTGAAGCCTCTAAATTGCCTGTAGGCATGAATAGTTTGTCTGTATGAGCAAACCAGTCCAGTTGTATCGCAGCTCTCGTCATAGGCTGGAGGTGTCATGAGGAAAGATGGAGTCTAATTGAAATCATCACGGATGTGGGTACATTTACTCTCAAAGTTTGAATCAAGTGGAATATTGTATAACATACAAAGATAATACTCTTGTCCAAAGTCAGCTAAAATAGCAACCCTAATGAGGATAGTCACTATCAGGAACAGGATGTGAGGTCGGACCCAAATGCAAGACTCAAAAGCAAAAGAGTTCCAAAAACACACGGTTTAATTAACCGGCTGAGTAGGCCGTCAGCAAAGGCAGCGGTATCCGGAAGCATCAAGCAAAAAGACAAGGTCAATAATCAAACGGGGTTGAAGATTACAAGAAGTCAGTGGCAAGAAGACGCACTGTTGAAAACGTGAAGAAAATGTACAACGAACTGGCAGCAAGACAGAATAAAACACGAGGTTAAATACACGAGGCAATCAGGGATACCGAGGCACAGATGCGGATGGCACAATCGAGAGAAAGGTGAGCACAAGAAAAGGCGGAGGTGCAGCGCACACTCACACAGACATCCATCCATCCATTTTCTAATCACACCTAGGGACAATTTAAAGTGTTTCATTAACCTGCCATGCATGTATTTTGGAATGAGGGAGGAAACCGGAGTACCCGGAGAAAACCCACGCAGACACCGGGAGAACATGCAAACTCCGCACAGGAAGGCCGTAGCCGGAATGGAAACCTGCACCTCTGCAGTGTGAGGCGGCTGTGCTCAACAGTTGACCATCGTGCAGCCCCACACAAACAGGCGTGTCTATAGAAAATAGATGAATATAAAGGACATGCTTTAATATGTACTTTGTGGAAACTTATATTTCTTATATCGACTGTTAAAAACTGAGGAAAAACATGCCGGTTGTTCGTCTGTATGCGCATTCTGCAGATGCTTGATTTATCATTTTAAACATACAGCAGTGGTGGCCAAATAACTAGTTTGTGTTGTAGGATCATAGTGGAGCAAACTGCTAGTTCACTTCACTCCCCGCAACCCACACTCACCCCGCTGACCAAAGCCGTGCGTGTCCCTCACTGACATGAGTGTAAGTAAGCCAATCTTAGCCATGGCTGCTACATTGCTAGCACGCCCTATTCAGGTTGGAGTGTTGCTTAACGCGAAATGTTACCGGTTTGATGTTGTATTTGGAAATACCGCTGGGGGAGGAACTTCTCTTGTCAACATAGCTTCATCTTTGGATGTCATGGCTGTCCAGCTCTATGTATGGTCAATTTGTTTCTATTCCTTTCTGTTTACTGCTTTTTCTTTCTTTTTTTGGGGGGCAGATTCTTGTTATTTCTCACACATTTCCGCCACGTCTGATAGGGTCAATTTGCTCACAGCTCGCGGGTCTGTCTCTCTTCTGCCTGGTCCCAAAGGGGCTTGGGGACCGCTGCTATGAATGACAAACTATATCGGTTTTTTGAAACTACAGACTTTAATGAATTGAGAGGAAAATATGGAGGAAAGAAGTTACAAAAATAAAGTCCTAAATTTATGAAGATTTACCGGTAAACCTACTATCAAGAAAGTAAGATTATATTAGAAGAACAAGGAAAAACACAATTTTTGTACACAAATCTAAACTAAACAGACCGAGATTACCACTTCATTATCATGTCAAAGGTTTATTCTCATAATCTCACGTATTACATAATCCTACATTTTTTCCCCTCCCACTATTATGACTTTATTTCTTACAAAAGTGTATTTTTGTGTTTATTTTCTTCATGCAAGAAAAACCTCAGTAACAAAATGACACTCGTGGAGGGGGGAAAAACAGCAGTATCAATCCATAATGCACCACTTGGACCTTTGTGTGTGTATATGCATGCGCGTCCCGGTTGATGTTTTTGTGTGAAGAAAAGTATCAGAGAAACAAACTCACAACAGATGTGTGTGCAGAACAAGGACAGTCGTGGCACGTGGACTCCAGGGGATACATCACTAGTCTGCATGCTCACATCTGCCACTGGATTGCACCCCCCCCCTCGGTTTGAAGATATGCAGGATTGTGCACAGTAGATGAATGTGTGTGTGTGTGTGTGTGTGTGTGTGTGTGTGTGTGTGTGTGTGTGTGTGCATTCATTCCATGCTCCGCTTCAGAATGTAATTTCCCCCAGGCTGGGGTCTGCCAATAAACACTATTGAATTCTGTCCTACACTGACATGATGGGAATTTAATTTGAGCTTGTCGCTTCTTTCTATACTTCTTTTTCCAACTCCATCCTCTTGCCATACTCGTTACCCCCCTTTTATAGCCCCCCATTTGCCCTTTTCTCCTTCTGTCGAACGCCTTCTCTGTGAAGCGAGGCCGGGTCATCCAGTCTGACAGTCTATATCACAGCTCCACATTACTGTATTATTACCATTGAGACTAATGATCCCTGATGTGCATATGAAGGTGATTTTAATTTAAAAAAAAAAAAAAAAGATGAACAAAATGACTTTCTTGTCACTCATTCAATCTGCAGGTACGCCAGATAGACAAATGTATTGAGACACAAGACCTCAAAGGAAGAAGCAAAAATTGAACCAAATATTGAGAAGACTCCCTTCAAAGTCGACTCGCTCTCTGCTGGAAGTATGTTGACGCTACCGTCAATGATGCGTTGCCTTTTGAATTGCTCCAGCTTCCCAAGTATCGGCGAAGCGATCACAGAATCCATTTTTTGATTTAATGAGGCATTTGCAGTTTCACAGTGCATGCGGGTCCGTGTGTACATCGACTTATCAAGCGCCGTCTTTGAGAGGCTCACCTCAACTTTGCTTATAGACCACAGAAACAACTACAACTGTCACAACGTGTTCTACAGGAAAAGTGAAGATAGAAAGCTTTCATTGTGACCCTACGATGCAAATGGAGAAAAAAAAACTGATGTAAGGAAAGCCTAAAAGACAACCAATGAGACAACCAATTTTTTCAGACAGATACCAGTATGGTTACTCTACTCCGGAGTACTCACTGAGATGAAGCAATCAATACCACTCATACTTTTGATACATAAAATTTCTTTTTAACTAATGACAGATAATTTTAAAGAAACACCTTTCATTTATCCATCCATCCATTTTCCGAACCGCTTTATCCTCACGGGGGTCACGGGGCGGGGGGAGCCTATCCCAGCAGTAGGCGGGTGACACCCTGAACCGGTTGCCAGCCAATCGCAGACCTTTCATTTATTTCTGACAAAAGACAGTACAGCCATTCCAGAAAGAAGAATTTCAATGCAAAGTCAACCACAAACAACTCGCTGTAATCTCTCATGACACGCGATTGTAATGTTGTGTGTGAAGAGTGGTTTTGAATCACCGGATAAATAAAACCTCCATAGGGTTGTCGTATAATGCAAATTCAAAATCTGGACCCTATAATCATTGCGCTGGACTTCGCAAAACATCCAATTAGCCTTTGTCGTTGATTGGCTGAGAAAACTCACATGGTTTTTCTGGCTTATGCTAAGGTAAAGGTAGTTGCATTTTTACAAGTTTAAGATGATAAATGCGGTTGCTTGCCTAGTGAAAGGCTGCTTGATTAAAAGTTGTCTCAATACTTTTGTTCATATTCGATTTGGAGTCAGAGTGGGCGGGCAGGCTGACAGGAATCTCTGCAGAAAGGTAAGTAATATACATTGATCCTGCGTGTGCGTGCACACGCATGTGTGTGTGTGTGTGTGTGTTTTATCGATCTTTCTTGCAGACCTAAAGCCATGACCAGGAAATGATCCAATCACCCAGAACGGCCTTTCTCTTGAGTGCTGCCTCTGTGATGAGATTGAGAGCAGCGCGTGTGTGTATTTGTCCCGTTTGGGTTCACAAAACCTAATATCACATAATTGTGTAATTATCTGTTGAAAAGTCAGCCGACTGTCCACGAGAAAAGGTAGCGCTGAAAGTCACAACTTGCCATGCTGCGACTCGATGCGCTGAATTTATACGCTAAACATGAGTTCTCCTTTACTGTCATGCACCAGCAGCCATATGCAACATTCAGAGCATGCAGTCTCACACATCCGTCAACCCGATTGGAGGAAGAAAAAGCACAACTAATGTCCACGGGCCTGAATGATCTCAATGCATTTCCAGGCTGGTCGTCGCTTTGTTTGCTTATGGCGCCAGCCATGCCACAAATAGGAAGACTGATCAAGCAGAACTGGCAGGATGTAATTTAATCTGTTGCAGCCAAGAAAGTCACGCTTAAAGTGTTTTACATATGGCCCGTCTGCCTTTTCGACTCTGTGCACATTGCATAATAATGATATACAATATATTCATGAAAAAGATGCCGCAAGAGACAGTAAGTGTGCCGTGGAGAATGCATCCTCCTTTTCACCACCTTCATATGTCTTCATTACCTTTGTGTATGCATTCGCTTTTGTTCAAAAATACCAGTAGTATTTTTCCAGTTACACAAAAAGTTTAGTTTTTTTTTCTTCTGCTGCTGCCCCAGTTTGATGAGTGATTGTGAGCTCAGATCAAAAGGTTAATGGCAGCCTGAATAACATTTTAAGGGACAATTTCTGTCTCTCCACACGAGTTTGGCAGCGGTGGCGAATCTGAAATGACAAGAATGCTGTAATGGCTCAATTTGTACTTTTTTCTAATTACGATTGCGACTAAATTATGTTCTGATCCAAACTTGCCCCAAAAAACAAACCAAAAAAAAAAAGCAATACAGTAGGACAAAACAAATCTCTGAATGCAAAATCAATCCGGGAAGCAATGTGGGGAGGGGAAGAAAAAAAAGTCCAGTGGCAACAAAATCAGATTCTCTCTGTTTTTGTCTCAACGACATCACTTTCACCTAAAAGTTACGGACAAGCTGATGTGTAAAATAGACAGTTTGATTGGAAATCAGCAAAGTCCATCGTAGTTGGCGACAGCCAATCACCGTCGAGAATGTAGTTACGTCACATGCGCACACGCAACCCCCCCAAAAACAAAACAAAACAACCCCCCAAAATAAATAAAAACAGAACAGACACATTTAATAACATTTTAAATGCAACAAACATCAGCAAACTGCTAGTAATACGAGCAGTAATAAAACATGAGTGTCTAAATTAACATAAAATAATGCATGCACAAAAATGAATAATTAATACAGAACAGTTTAAAATCTCCTTTTCAGTAAAGTTAATCATTTGTCCTTCATTGAGCAAGTCGAGGATTCAAATTAGTACACCGGTTTGATCAGTCTCAATTATTATGTTCGAAAACCCCCCAATGGTATTTGTCATTGCTTTTACTCAGTCTGACGAGCCCTGGAGTGGGTGGTTGATTAAATGCCCATGGAAGCTGCGTTTGCAAATGCCCTCTTTTTCTGTCATGCCGCACTGATATTAATCTCGATATTAATCTAACCGTGATGCTTCAAACGTGTTAACAAGTTGGCCGTCTCGTTCGCTAGCCAGAGGCTGAGCTGCGCCATATTTGTGTGTGGCTCGAGCGCGAGGCAGTTCCGCCCTTACCTCATAAGCTTCGCTGGCAACCTGGCACATCTCTTTACTTTAACGAATGTTCCATTTGGAAAAAAAATAAGAATACCTAACCAAGAATTACTCTCCCAGACCACCATTACATTTTCAGTCTTTGGGAATTCCTGCTTGACTGTGTGCTGATGGTACTGTTGTTGTCAAAGCTGGAATCATATTCATTTACATATCATTAATAAATAAACACATTAATAAAATCAACCAATAAAACTTTATAAAGTTGTTATGTTATGTGTTGTGCTTATTATTTTACTTTATGTTCACTGTTTTGTAAAGCGCATTACTACAGCTGCAGCTGTTGTGAAAGTGCTATATAAATCAGGATGCATTGTATTATATTGTATAAAGCATTTTTCATACCAAAAAAAAAACAGATCAAAGTGCTTCATACAGCATTTGACACAGACATACAAAAGAGCACGCACACACAGACACACACACTCACAGGTTAAAAATTATGACATTATGATCTAAGGCTGGGTACAGAGCATTCAGGCAAGCATCCAGGTGCGGAAAGAACACTTTAAGGAACCGTCTGTATCAGGAACATATCACAAAATGCAGTCACAGAACACTGGAACTCTCAGTGCAGTAGCAAGAGCCACGTACGGGTCACTCAGGCTGCAATGAGGCATGATGCTGACCACGGCCTAGAACTGGTCCAAGAGCACAGGTGTTGCCGCAAGTAAAACGCTGAAGAAAGTAAAATCATTCCAATCATAAAAAAATGAAATAAAAATACATGTTTTAATAAGAAAATCAAATGAATAATTCGTAATTAAAAGCTCAATGAAAAAAGGTTTTGAGCCTGCTCTTGAAAACAAACTACCATCCTCCGTTGCCCTGAGGTGTGGACTGTGTCACAAATAGTCTGTAATATTGGAATGATGCCTCGCTGGGAGCGTGTCCTGACTTTATGAATGAGTAAAAGGCCAGAGCTGGAAGACCTCAGAGTTCAGAAGGTAAAAGCAGCCCAATAACACATAGACATTAACCCTTTCAGGCACAGCACTTACTACAGTGGACAGCTTATCGTGTTATTAGGCTACAGGGTGCATGAAAGTGTTAAGAAAAAAAATATATATATAAATCTTTGCAATAAAAGTGTGACCAATAAAAGATGAAAATAATGCAACAAGCACGTTTTTCAACTCCGATGGACTGCAACATTGAAGTGCAATTTTTGAATATGCTAGTTTTGTGTGGGAAGGGACTATAGGGATTTGTGGTTAGACTATGACGGTGTCACGGTGGATCTGTTTGTGACCAACAGGTGGCACTGTCGGGCTCCTCCTACAGCAGCACACCTGTTAGGCATCATGTCATTAGGTTTTCTGTTAAAAGGACTCCCTGCCCGACCACTTTGTGTCGGGTCATTGTTTTTGTCACTGTTTCCGTTAGTGTTTGTGCACTGCAGCCGCCACCATGGGTTTTTGTTTGGTTGTTTTATTTTTTGTTTTTTTCAGGACTTTGCTTTGGAGTTAGTTTTCTCAGTGTTTTATATTGTGTCAAGTCTACCCTGCTCCTCCCACCTGCCTACCTTTTGGGATCTTCCATCACTACGTTCATGACAAACGGTGAGGTGATTTATTATTATTTTTCATGTGATAATTACATATGCTTATGTATTTTTTTTTTATTTTGTCAATACGTCGATTGCAATGAAAATGTTATCCAAAAATGTATATCCCTGTGCTGCTGCCAAATGGCGTCAAAAACGAAAGACTAGATGACGTTTGTTGAATTCTGATGATTCCTAATTGCGTCTGGGCCATGTCGTATCAATTCAGGATGCAATTTGTAAGTGTTTATCAAGCCCAATTAGGCGTTTAATTATCTTAATCCATAATTAGCATCCTAGCCTGGACAATTCCATTTGCGCTGGCAAATATGTTTGCTCTCTTAATCTATTTGCTATCTG